TGAAAAAGTAGCTAACAATATTTTCTGTTGTCAGGAAAGAAGACATAGACGAAATGAAATCACCAAGGATGATAAAAACACATCTTCATCATTTTCTTTTACCAGAACAAACTTCGAAAAGGCAAAAGGGAGGGTCAGTATAGATTTTTTGCTACTACATGTATTGAGCGATTAACGGTATATGACTAGTAGAACAATGGAAGGTGTGTTCAAAAATTATTCTACGAGTCAAAGATCACTATTCAGTTTTACCGACAAATTTTCTCGAAACCAAGCAAAGCGTTTAAAAAAAATATGCTCTTAAATTCAACAATTCTTATCTGGCATTAAAATCAAATTAATCAAAGCTTAGGCTTATACAATAGACGCAATGTTTGTTTATCAGAATTCAAAATCACCGTTACTTACTTACGTTTCTTAAATACAGTTTTATCTTTAAAAAAATGGCACAAACAACATTTTTTCACCAAAATTAGGTAAAAAGCTACGTGTTAACATGGAACAACTAGATTTTGGGTAATTCCAAGGGTTTTCATTTTTTTTTGTTAACCCAGAAGGTTTGGTTGTTTGCAGGGGGCGGCAGTCCCCCTAATCATCAAGAAATTTTGGACATATGACAGGCTAAAAATGGCCCCGGTAACGTGTAACCAACGCTGAAACGCCTCTATCTCAATTCATTGATAAGTTGCAGCAATTAGAAATCAGTTTTGATGGAAAAAAACCCAATGCAAAATAGTGATTTTTTGGCAATTTTGAGACGTCCCCCGTTGCCAATGTTACAGGAAATTTAAGATTGAGCATGCTGTTACAGAGGCTATGGTCCAGTCAACATTTGTGCCAAGTTTCATTAGTATTGAAGCATTTTTCATAGTTTGAACTTGTAAGAGAAGGCTTTTCAATGAAAACGAGCATTTTTCCCAATAAGAAGGAAAGGGTAAAATGACTGTGAAATTAATGGACATTCTGGAAGTAAATAGGACTAAGTCTTGTCTCCTCTTTGTATTTGATATCTGCAATAAAATTGAATGGGTGTTGGTTTATTTGCCTATCTCTTTTATGATTAATTTTCAGACAGTAGATAGATCTCATATGGTAGACTTTATTATACATAATAAGATTTTCTAATATATAAAGGCATTCTGGTACATATGTGATACACAAATAAACTACTTTTACATATGGAAGGGTCTGTTTTCGAATACATGCATACTTTGCAGGATCAGGCTACAGCAAACTTAGACATCTTTTTTCTAGTTGTCACCAAAGCATGCAAGTATGAGCGAGAGAAATTTGAACTATATCAAGAAATATCTAATAGAGACTTTCTGTCGTGGTTGACACAGTTTAATTGTTCTACATAATTTCTGGATCAGTTTTGCCAGAACAAACACTTGCTTAAAAATGAATAAGTTCTTCAAGGTTTGTTTAAACTATTTAAGGAAATATTGCATATTACTTTCCTTATACAAAAATATCATTGTCTTACTTTTTTTTAGTTTATTTGTTCTTAACATGAAAATACTTATTTACTTTTAATGTAACTTGAATATTATGTGAATTTCTTTACTCTTTTCAAAAATAAGGTTTCATTTTAGTAAATTTGCTTCTTATTCATTAAGTTGAAGCAAAATAACGCTTGCACAGGGATATAGTTTAATGCGTCATAAGGTCTTATTAGAATGATCTACGAAAATCCTATCTCAATTCAAGTCCCTAGGTATACGTGTATTTTACAAGATGTACATGCAAAAAACCCACAAAAACAGACAGCCTTTGCCAGAAATAATCTGAAAGAGACTTATACTTATTGACATTGTTATATAAGAATATTTAACGTATCGTGTTTATAAATGTATATCTTCGATTTTGAAAAAAGACAAAACAAAATTAATGTTGTTATTTTTCCAGATAATCTATATGTACCGCAACCCGAAAGATTCTGTTATTTCCCTATTCAAATTATTTAAGTGGACACATCAACTTGATGAGGGAGAAAATATGTTTGGTCGATTCTTTGACAGTTTTGTCGTTGGCAAAGGTATGGTGGCATATCAGGTTTTGTATCGGTATTTCATTCTTAGATTCAGTCAAAACAAGTTTTATTTTCCTATAAGTTACCTATAAAATATCGAGAGTGTTCATTCAAAATTAGTTTTTCATTTTGACAAAAAATAGAAATATTTATTCTTTTCTAATTTTATCTATGAAATATAGTGCAAACAACAAATATGAAATACACATATGAAAGTGAATCTTATCCCTGGTAGCCTTTTAATGGTATGTATTCTTAAATTTTGTTTGTTTAGTTTCCTACATTTTCCTAAAATCAATTGTTAATAATTGCAACCTGATATCTTTGCTTTACCCCTGTGCCCTATCTTGCATTTGTTTGATGTATTGCTGGGTTTAGTATAAGTGACTTTGTGTCGCTTGGTTTAATCGGGGCTGCGTTCATCTTTCCTTTCACTTTCCTTGTTAATCTTTGTAATCATATTTAAAATATCTTGGTAATAAAATAACGAATTTAACAGGAGAATGACAAACGCCAATGATCAATCTTGAGTAAAACTCTATCATACATGTATGTACTCAATTCTTTATATAATGTGCCTCTAAATAAAATTCTTTTAGCTTATGCATGTCCGTGGCCGCAGCATGTTCTTGGATATTGGGAGAGGAAAGATGCACCTCAACTTTTATTTCTCCGATTTGAAGATGTTGTCAAAGTGAGTTTATAAATGTTATGCACACGTTGAAATTGAAGCGTTTACTTAACATAAATACATGTATGTCATTAGATATGAATACTAATAATACATTTGTTGTATCAGTCTGTATATATAGTTATCTTGACATATGTATCATATCAGATATATAGAGTTAATTAATATATACACGTATTATATTCATATTTATCATCGCTTACTAATTGTTCATACTCATGCTTTAATTCTAAATATATTGATTAAAAATAAATGTTTTCTTACTATTATTGCAAAAGGAAAGCCAAAAGTTAAAAGATAATTGTACCACCTGCAAATGAAAATATTTTGACAAGCTGATTATATCAGACATTATAGAAATGAACTCTAAACATTCATTCATCGACATTTTCAAAATAAAATAAATCTTTGTCATAAGTGACTAATGCAAGTTTTTAATCAAGACTTTATTGGACACATGTTGGAAAATGTTTTGACCTTTTTCTTGCATTATTGGTACCTCCCCGCGGTTGCCGTGCGATTTTCTTCCGACGGAAAATGTCGCTCTTTTTTGTTGATCTTTATTCTGTAATTTGACATACTCACTTGAAAACATTTGCAATTGTTAGATTTTTATATCCTCACAGGATATGCCTGCCGCAATCAGACGTATAGCCACATTTCTAGGACGTACATTAACAGATAAAGATGTTTCGGACATCGCCGAGCATTGTAGTATTGAGAAGATGAGGAATAATGAAGAAGTTAATTACTCATACTGGCAGGATATAGGATATGTCGATTTTCAACCAGAGGAAAGTCATTTTATAAATAAAGGTAGAAATTCAATAAAATATCTAAAGTATGTTTTAAATACGTAATTGATAATACATGTATATTAGAAACTGTATCAAACTGGGGTAAGTACTTCCCATTTACAAGGTTCATCAACAAAATCTATGCTGTTTTAGCTCATGGTCCTCATGCATTTTCTTTCAAATAAAAAGTCAAATGGTTACCCCAAGCCAATTTTCATTACATAAAGTGCACCTCAATATAAATCAGGGCAAAGCAATTTGAAGCTAAGTTTTTGTACAGTGCAACAACTCATTGACCGATTTTCATAAAACGTGAGATAAAGACTCCGAATAATGTGAATAAAGATCACTCTTCGACATACCTTTATAAGTTAAATAGAACAAATTACCTCCATTTAAAGACCACTTGCCAATTAAGGCAATGCTTGGTCTATCCTTTCGATAACCTTTATTTACAGGTGTGACTGTAGTCTATAATATAAAGCAATAGAGAAAGGAGTATGTTGACATTTCATAGCAATATGTCATACACATACATGTATATGTGTTGAAGGACAAAAGTCATTAGAAGTATCGCTCAATCACACAGTGTATAATGAAACAAATGACTCATTTTGAGCATCACGAATAAATATTAAACTACGCTACTGGTAACGTAAAAGAAAATAGTTTCAGCAGGAAAGCCTGGTTTAAATAAACGCGAGAAAAAAATGATAATGAAACTAAATTCTCTGTTTGATAGTCCACCTTTAATGCGATACACTTGAACAATAGTTATAGGCAGTTAATTATTGAAAATATACTTCTTGCCATTTATCTTTTTATTTGTTTCTAATCAATCGGCGGTATGGTTTTGGATTTGTCTACCGGACAAAAATTGATTTTTAAATTAAATACGGGATGTTAATTACACAAAATGTTCCATAAAGAGTTTACGGTTTTATTCATTGTACACATTTTAGATGCCATTTAATTTATACCTAAGATAGTTTTTTTGAAAGTATGCTCCGTAAAAGAATGGATATACTGCAGGGCAAACGGACTGACTGAGACTTTTACCGTATTTCCCGCCGACATTTCGGCTGGTAGGAGGGAGAGGAGAGGGAGTGGGGTGGTGTTCAAAAGTGTTGCAATTTAAAGTAAAGACTTTCATGGTTAGCCATTTTATTTTGAATCCTGGCAAAAGGCTTATAATTGTATTATAATGACACTTCTTTTGCTTTTTCACAGTAAGTACCATGTAAAGAAATTAAAATGTTGGATATTAATTATTATTCTTTTTTATAATTCAGGTCGGCCTGGCACATGGCATGAGAAGTTAACACCAGAGCAGAACGCCAAAATGGACAAGCTAATTAAAGAAGTTGAGGACGCTGGTGTGACTGTTGTACATACTTGAAATATTAGATACATAACCTTGATAAGAATTTATTGTATATTTGCACATGATAAATGAACACAATCTTAATGTCAAAATCGTAAGCATAAAAACATGTGTACAATGTACACACAAAAAGTTTGGAGCATTTTTGATTTCTTTTAAACAATTTACAATTTTGCATGTTTTTAATTGATTCATTTGTTTGACATACGATATGCGTTAATACCAGTTCAAACCCTATTAATTTTAATGTCCACTTGAGTGTCAGTAAGTAGAATACCACCTTGATAATCATGTGACTGATGAGGCTACACATTTTGCAAATCATACCGAAATAGTTAATCAGTGTGCTGATGTAAACTTTAGCCCATAACAAGCTATACATCTTGTCATTCAGTTTGAATTAAAATATTTTGTCTTGTTACAATAAATTTTTATATTTTTGTTTTTGTTCTTTATTGAAAACAAACTTCATAAAGATATACTATTTAATCAGCAACTAGAAGGTGTTTTGATAAGCTCTCCAAATACTCTCCAAAATCGAACGGGTTCACACTTTAACTGACGATGTAAACCAATCACATAATTTGGGAGCATTTTCAGATAAAGAGAAATAAAGAAATAAGACTCGCCCTCGTGAATTTCCGTGAATATGGAACTTGCATAAAATGGTATAAAAATGAAATGAAATGAAATAAATAAATAGATAAATAAATAAAGGAATATATAAATAAAAATAAATAAATAATATTAAATGAATAAACGATAAATGAATAATAATGAATAACAAAACAAAAACGACTTTTTAAATTTCCTTGAGTATGTGAATATTCAATAAAACTGGTATGAATAAGTAAATAGATAAATAAATAAATAGATAAATAATCACGTAAAGTTGAAATGATTATTTACAAAGTTTGTTTCATGTATAAAGATAAACACTTTTCAACACCTTTTTATTATTTTTTTATTAACACTACGAGTAATGGCGATATCAAGATAATCTGATTGGAAAAAAGCGTTTTGTGCCTCATTGGTGTTTTAGTCTTTTGAGGAGCGATATTACATCGAGCTATTTGCACAAAGAAACATATTCGTGCTTTGCTTATAACTCTAAAATAAGTTTTCCAACGTAAAAATATCACATATAGTAAGTGACGATTTAAATGTCATAGTTCGACCTTGCAAAATCTACTGGTATAAGAAGACCTCAGGTACCTCTCCGTGCATGTTTTTTAGGCACGAAACGGCACCTGACTTGAATTACCGACGCTCTGCAAGCTAGCTTGATAGCTTCCTGCAATGAAATCATCAAATTCCCTGGCGAGACTCGATTCCACAGCGAAGATGGCTAACTGGCTTAAAGTCAACGAACGTTAACACTCGGCGACGGACACCACAAAGCGTAACAACTCTAGCACAGTACTATCTGTGTATTAGTCGCAGTTATAGAACATACATCGTGTACATATAAACACCGGTAGCAAATTCCTTTAAAATAATGATGTATTGATAAGACAAAAGGAAATTTTACTATTACTTATAGAGATACCAGTTAATGACACTTTTGCATGAGCATGTTTCGGGTTATCAAAATGGCACCAGTCGAAATAAGTCCCTTTTGATTGATTGATATTCATATAGATTATAATAGTAATTCTTTCAATATCAACACAGACTTTATCCGTCTACCTACACTTCATTCGGAACCACCTCGTCGACTACAAAAAATCACTTGATGCATTGAAAATACCATGCTACTTTTAATGTAAAAAGACAGACTGTAATCTTGGCATAATGAATAACGAGTGTATATAAACATATATTTCAAAAGCGAGTGCATTACAATTATAATCAAAGAATATTCCTATGGCAATAACCAAATTCAAAATCTCCAATATGTATGTCTTTTGCAATATTATTTTCTAAATGCATTAAAGCATCAAATAGATGAATATGTGTCTTAAAATTTACTTTATTTAGTCAACGTTTAAAAAAAACTTCTTTACATGATTCAACTTCATAGCGAAAATTAGTCCGAAGTACAGTTTTCCCTTAGTCTCATCATAATATTGTGTACGAATTCTGACGGAAAATGCCAAGAAGTTGCGATTGTAAGTGTCCGATTGTGTTAACCTTGACGTTATTAAATGGTGTGTTTAATTTTGATAATCACACTGTATTTGTTATACGAAAATCGGCACCGGAAGTAATATCCGCTTGAAAACTAGTGTTTGAAACTACCCAACATTTCTTTTTCGAGTGCTGTGCATACGATGCCGTCCGCAGAACACTCCTCCTTAACTTGGAAGACTTCAGCATAAACCTTCATAAACTTCTCTATGGTGGCCCATCTCTTACATACCAGGACAACGTTATTATATTTACAAATGTACAAAATTATATAGAAAAAACGAAAAGATTTACTTAGATCCATTCTTATTGAGACTATATTCCTCCCTCACCCTCTTCCTTCCCTTTCCCACTATTTTGTTTTCTTCTTTTATATATATTCTTACATTTTAGACATCTACTTGTAGTTAATCTATTCTATATAAGTTTATATATAAATATATATTTTTATCTGTGTATAATTAATACTTATTCCCTTGTCTAGTATATACTAACTATAAACTTATTTAAGACAAACCATATAGTTCGCCAAAGTAGAAGTATTCTATAAGACTTGTCTTTCATTCTCATCCTTTTCCATTGTGTAAAACTGTTTTGTTTGTTTTTTATTTGTATGTACATTATATATACTTTCGGGAATAAATATGTTTAAAATAAAACTAGCGTTTACTTAGTGATCTACCTTATTTTGCCTTGTTAGAATTGAAATAACATTGGTCATTTTTAACTCATTTAAGAATTATCTTATTTCCAAGACATAATATGAAAATATGATACCTAATTTTCATCCATTTTGTGCATTTTGAACTACTTAAAATGTCACGTTTTTAGAGCCAATTGTGATCACAACTAGCATTTTCAATAAACAAGTTTAACAGCATTAAATATTATAATATAAAGATTTCTGTTTATGTTTCCCCTAATTTTATATAAAGCAGGACAGGAAGAGATATTTCAACAACTTCAAGCGTCTTACACACACGTCCACTACAGAGAATAATTGTCTTATTGGGACTGTCTGTTATATTAAAAATGATATCCACGCATATTTATATGAATATATACTATACTTGGAAGACAAATTGACACCGAAAATGAAATAACAATCCAAAGAATAAATGTGATTATTGTTTAATTACTTTAAGTAAGTAAGCCCTTAAAGTGTTTCCTGTTGCAAGGAAATATATTAAGAGTCGTTTGAATAGATGAAGTTAGATTTGTCAACTCATAATTGTCCTTCAAATTCTCTTTTTAAGGCACTTGAAATATGTTTGAGCGAGTGTTTTGTCAGGGGTTCAAGGTACAAGAACTGTTACGTTTGTCACTTAAAAATAAGTTTAATTGCGTAATAACGTCATTATTGCGTTTTTTAGTGCAGTAATTGTCTTTGATATGAGAAATATACATTACAGAACAAGATATGATAAACATATTTAAAGAAATTTACGGAATCATAAATTAAAAAGTAGACTACAAAAAAAGAAAAAAGAAATCATCTAAGCTGTGTTAACATATACTCTGAGTAATCTGCAGTATTGAAAAAAATAGAAATAATAAAGAAGTAAGTATGTCATACTGGCAGGATAAAGGATACGCTGACTTTAAACCAATTGAAAGAAATTTCATAAATAAAGGTTAAAGCAATTTTTTTTACGCACCTTATAAAATATAACCAACGAACTTTCAGGGTTCGAACGACGTGATGTTACAATAAAAATCATTATATGATCTTATCAGATTAGCCGTCTGTTTTATTTCCAGAGTCTCGTTTTTTCACAGCAAAACCCCCAACGTTTTGTTTAAACTAAGGTTAAAAATGATAAAAATATCAATATCTTATCTATTTCAATACCAGATAATTATATCAGAGTATTTGTACCTATATTACACTTAATATTTTGGACCTAGAATTTCTTAAAATGTTGTTATTGAAGTAAAAGCTACACATTATTTCTATTTTACAGACTAAACAAAGTGTTATCCGTTTCTATCGGGAAAGGTAGACTAACACATTTCTTACTGCCAATAACGCATCCAGGAGTATACTTACATTTGAAGGCCATATATACTTCAAGAAATGCTTATATTTCTATTTCTCAAAAAAGTTTTCATTCTTGGTCTCCTGTTACAGTTCATAAAAAGATAATTATTGGTAATTTACATGAATAAACTTTTGCTTCCTTTTTTTTGGCTTTTTATGTTTTGTATGGAAACCAAATTACTTCTTTGTTTACATTTTGATTCTTTTTTACAAAAAAGCACATTCAAATGCTAGTTTCTTTGTGTAATTAGTATTTATCTTGCTTTTAAACCATTATCTAAAATTTTAAAAACTCATGTTTGCCCTTTCGTAAGAAGTAAATATTTATTTGTTTCCGAGGCATTATGTACCGTTTAAATAGATTATCATTTATTATTCCATATAGGTCAGTCTGGCTCGTGGCATCAGAACAAAAAGACAAAGTGGACAAACTAATTTTGGAAGTTGAAGATACGGGAACGACTATTGTTTATACTTGAAAGACTAGTTAGTTAACAGAATAAATACAAACAGTGTACTTTTTTACTTCTTTATTATAATAAGCAGTATACAGTATATATGCACTTCCTTTAATACACGTGTCTGGTATTTTATATGTTAAGATAAAAATCAACAACAAGACATATAAAACTAATTAGAAAGTAAAAGCATGTGCATAGCCGCTTACTTTTTAAAAATAAATGGTAATTGAAACGATGATGGTCAGCTTTAAATAATAGTTTAACAGTGTGTCAATGTATATTATAGACGTAAACAAGCTATGGTTCTTTATATATCAAAGGAGCATTAAAAGGTAAGAGATAATCTTTAGAATAACTAAAAACAATCTTTTGGTAAGGTTCTGACTGAAACAAAGAAAAGCAAGCGGTCATTCTTTTTCCTTCAAGTCCATACTATAATATAAAATGATACCCCAAAAAGAATTAAAATTAATTTTCAAAACTTAATGGTTTAGTTGGAATTTTGTTGAATATATGCCCTTAAAGCCTAAAGCATAGGATATTTTGTTGTTTTATATTTTCTGGTCCTTCGGGATTATTGATTCCAGCACTTTGATAGTTGAGTACCATTGAAGCCGGTGATAAGGAACGTGAGATATTTTGCACTTTTAAATAATCTCTTAAGTACAAGCACAACCACACAAAGTCTGCCATTTTAGTTAATTTTCTAAAGTCCTGAGTTAAAGCCTCACAATTCTTATAACTGTTGTTTTTAATATTTTTTATCATGACCGGGCCTCTGAAACATGTTACTTTAAGCTTATTTCGTGTTTAGATATAGATCATCCAAAATTAAGTGACAATGACCTTTGACCTATTCGCATGAAAATGAATGTAAGATGTGTAATTTATAAAAGGACGCCTACATACATTGTTCTAAGGTCAATGCTTGTTTTGGCCTTGTTTTAAGTTTGGTTTTTACAGTTCCCAGTGGCCTAGATCTTTAAGTTTTTTTTACATCTAAAATGGATGTGGCTTCCAAATGCATGTATAAAGTTTCAATAGAATAGCTTGTTAGTTTTGAAGTAAATGATTAAAAATGAAAATATGCCAAAATTAACATAAATGCCGACGTTTACGCCAACAATTTGGTAATGGCAAAATTAACAGTATACCTTTTTACATGTAATAAATATGGGAACTAAATAAATTAACATATATTACAATACTTAACAGGTAAGCATGAAAAGAACAGTTAAACAAAAGCTTAGAATTTATCAGAAACCCAGGAATAAAAAAAAAGAATGCAGATACAAATAATAATTACAAATGTTCCCAGACAAAATAATTAGGCTAAACATATTTTTAAAATTTTTATAAAATGGGAACTATTTTAACATTTTAGAATTGTGCTTTATTTTATAAAAAGATTCAAGACCCGGGTTTTAAAAGAACCCCGTTCATTAAATTTTGCTTTTATCTTTTTCTTTTCTAGATGGGTTTTTTTTGTTTTAAACAATTAAATATAAATTTTTCACCCAAAAAATTTCTGGGGAAAAAAACCTAAAAATTTTTGCCTTAATTCTTTTTTTTTTTTTCAATTTTATTTTATTATATTAAATTTGCGTAAAAAATGTTAATTGTTACAATAAAGCGTTATAAAAAAGCACATTTAAATTAAAAATTTTTCATACAAAATTACAAAAAAAAAATTGGGTTTTAAATTTTCCCTAATTATTCCTTTTCTTTTCAAAACATTTCCTATAAATTCTTTTGAATTTTGGGAAAACAACGACAACAAAAAATAAAAATAGTCATAAAAGATATATAAAAGCGACCACTGATTGATATAAATTACATGAAATATGGCCAATCTTAATGCATAAAATACGTTTTAACATTATTCTAACACGCTTCACACTTTTCCCTTATCAAACAAACACAAGCGCTTAATGACATGATATCTATACACAGCTTAGAAACGACTGCTTAATATAACACCCAGAAAAATCTTTTGCGCACATTGCAGTCTGACATATTTTTGTTTATCAATTTTGTATTTTATTAGCATGTAGGAATGGAAATAGATACCAGTTTTTCTTGCATTATTAATAGTATAGTAATGCATGTTTTATTGTTCAATTGCATTGTAATTAATCAATCACTCAGGACTGTCGGTCTTCGTTATTATACTTCTAAGCATTTGAAATCGCGTCAGGCATAATTATACAACAATGCAATCGACACATCTATGTATTTCCGAAACATTTGTCGCTACAATACTTGTAAAACAAAAATAAGAGATTGGTTATTTTAAATAAGGTTTTTGCAAACATACAGTTCATGTTGCAGGATAGCATAGTTAAACTTTAGCTATGTAGGTAATTCAATTTGACTTTGTAAATGGTCATGTGGAAACTGGTGTATGATTTAATGAATGTAATCGGACATTTCCTTAGAATTCTTAACATTTATCACCCAAATTTTGCCATCATGCTAAGTACAAGCAAACATCCCCCGAAATGAACTACAACAAAATTAATAATGACAATGCATGAAATAATCATTTTACATCTAAACAAACAAACAAACAAACAATTAAACAAACAAATAAACAAACATGAAATAACAATCATAGTCAAGCAAATTCTTCCTTAGTGTAGCTGATATTCAATATATTATGTGCAAAACTAAAATAATAAATTTGAAAATATTATACACATGGCCTTGACATCAAATAATAATGAATGAAAAAATATTCTGTATTTCCGACTGTTTATGAGTCTGATGTTGACACCCCGAGCAAGCATGAACCGTCTGGAAGCCTTTTTAGATGTTATACATATCTGTCATGTTATTGCAAACATAACATTGTATCATTACACAATACAAACGATTCATCATCGTTGAGAAAAAAGCAATTTAGGGGGAATAATTTATGAAATGTTTCAGTAACAAACTTTTTATAAGACATTATTGATTATATTCATAAGCAAACACATTCAAACTTAACAAAAGTAACAATCGGCTAAATAATTGTTTATGTGAAATATAAATAAAATAAAGGTTTTATCGAATGCATAGACGTTTGATGTAGTAACAGGTTATATTAAAACAAACGCGTTCGAAAGTTTAGTTTTGATATTATCAACTGATTTATGATAGTTGCGACACTTGCTTTTGAAAAACCTTGCGTGATAATTTTTGCATTTTGTACGATAGCGTTTTGGTTAAACAGTCAAGAAATCTTCTATGAAATTTCTTGTCAAAAAAAATTCTAAGGTTTAAATGTTGATGATGACGACAATGATACAGATCTAAAAATGATTACAATTTTTGTTTCTGTGAATGAAAACACAATTTATCAAGCTTATTTAGGAGCCTCAAAATTACAAAGTGCTACAAAGTGTTATAAAGAAGAAAACAATCAAGGTAAAATATAAGCAATAGTTGATATAGCAAACACAAATCTTGCATAAAAACTAAGTAAACACAAGTAAATACTAAAATAGTGCAGGCAATATATATTTGAAACATTTACATTGCTAAATATATAATTTCCAAAACGAAATCAAAAGATCAAATTTTACCTAACCTCAAATATTACGTGGCTCAAAATTATCTGGAATTTGGAATATCCCTGAAAAGCATATTATATACACCTTCAATCATCTCTGCCACCATCACCACCACTCTCATTAAAAAACTTCTTCAGTTACTAACACTTTCACTTGAACGTTATGTATCACTTCATGAAAAATGAATGAGCAACATTGATTGACCCATTACGGTACCAGGTATTCAAGTCAAGATTTTTTTAAGGAGAACTCTTTTATATTTCTAGACGCTTATATTTGTCGAAGTTATATGTCGAAGTTTAATGATATCAAAAGTTTAAACATATAAGTGTTTACAAGATGTGTACGCTGAACTAAATCTAAGGGTTCTGAAGACCGATCGGTTTTCTGATAATATGATACTTCAAACTTTTAATATTCACAACAAAGTATTTGTACCATCAATAGTTTACCGTGCTTAATGTCGTCAGGTAAATGTTGAGTGCCAATAAGATTCCCTTTACCATCCAGAATAAAACTTCTCCCGGCATTTGGGACAATAGACTCGTGTAAGTGTCCAGAGAATTCGTCGACATTCGATTCCCTCTTAACACTCTGGGCAAATAAATGATGCACTTCAATGCTTTTAGTTGATCTCATTAATGTATTGCAACTTCCGGCTCCGTGTTTGTCTGTAAGAAGCCTTCTGCTAGGTGTAAGGTCGCTTTTCATTCCAGAAGACGTCGATGAATTTCATCTCGAGAACGCCGGCATTCTCACTTTTTTAAAGAAACCTTTTGTCTCCCCTTCATCCGTCTCCCCAGAATTCATAAGATTAGACATTTTACTATTAAAAGTTGTTAGGACTACTGTAGCACCATTTTTCAATTTCTATCGGTCTTTTACTGAGATCAGATCTCGCTTTGTCAAAATTCCACCGGTGTCCTTTTTGAAAAAACATTAAATTTCGCCCACTCCTGTTTCGTTAACCAAATCCGGCGACGACCGGAGCTTTCCTGTAATGTTTAATGCACCAGAACGTAAACCTCGAAACCTAAAGATACTTTGGACAAAATGTTTAAGGACATGACAAGGTTTAACCGTCTGTACCAACTTATTGATCATTTCATCTCGAAGAGCTTCAAATGTTGGATCTCCTTGGTTTCTGCCGGAATCCGGTGCAAAGCTATGAACAACAGTTCGGATGCATGGCGTAGCAAGTGGCTCCACCTTTCTTGGTCATATACCTTTACTGACTTTTTTGTCATTTATGTAAATATAGTGAGACAGACACAAGCAATTCTGATAGGGAACCTGGAAACACACGGATTACTTGCTAGGTTACAAACATCTTTCAAGTTGTCCGGGATGATTTACAGGTAAAAGTTTGTTTCATTGTTAGTTATGTCTTCTGGATCCACTTCTTTTTTGGATGAATATCGCTCGTAATTGAGAAGTAGGAAGAAGAGCTCCAGCGGAAGCATAATTGTTGCCTGTCTTCCCCAGTAACTTTCAGGAACGCTATGCAACTTCTTTGGCTCATTTTTTGATGACTTTGAAATGAAGAAACATACGATCACAACGTTTTCTCTTTCCCCAATTTGGGGGGTTTTACTGTACGTAGAGTACTGTCTGGCAAGATGTTTCCTCGTCTGTAGGTTGCATCTGAAGAATGAATGTAATTTTCGATACTTTTTTCCCCTTAGATTTATCCAATAAAAAAGAACCTCTGCCTCTTTCAGAGCTGTAAGAAAGGTGTCCTCATAGAAAATAAATGGTTCCCAATTGGATACTCGCGTACTCTTTCAGGTAAATATTTCGTTCATCAATGCGCCCATGTAGGCATTTAGAAACCTCTTTGATGTGTAAATTGACGAACCCCGCTTATAGGTTTTGCGGAGCATTTGCAAGAACGTTTTCGATATCTTCTCTTTTATGCTTGTTTGACGTATGTTACAACATCTGTAAATGTTGACTGATTGAGTTAACCATTGGTTGCCAAACCCCCGGAACTTTTTCACGGTTTTTTGGTAAATACTCAGTAACAAACTTTTAGTGAACTGTTAGTCTGTTCTTAATTTTTCTGTATAACTATTCTCGCCAAGTTTTTCTGTACTGCAAAACTCACGATACCACATTGGGGCCCAGCGCCTGATTAAGTGTGCACCATTTTGTTCAGAATATTGAAAATGTCTTCAATACTTGGAAATGAGCAGGTTCGTATAAATAGACAGACGGGATCTTCAGTATCTCTCCATCTGTGCTATGCAGTCCTGACTTTGTTATTATGTCAATATATTTTGGAACATTTTGCCCCAACCCCTGAACGACAAACACTCGATTTGATTCCAGGAGACTCTATTGAAACAAGATCGTTAATCACTCGAATATTGAAATGTGACCAAGTTCCGCCTTGTTCTCAACCCATCTCCAATACTGTCTTCATCATCTTGATAAATCCTAGAGCCCAATGAAAACGGAATATTGTTAAAGGTTGCAATCCGAAATTTTATTAAAAAACACTGTCCTACGGATACCTGTAAAACAAAATTAAAAGGAACATGGACAAATGTGATGGAATTTATTTCGGGTGTATGGATACAAAATTATACTAGAACCCGCAAGTCGAATGGGTCGCCTTGGCAACCGTAGAGCTGTCGGGGTTATGAGCATTTGTTGCATCTTAAATATAGGGATTTAAAATACATGCTTTGCAAAAAAACATCATCTTTTTTCCTTAAATAAAAAATACGAATCCCCAAAGAAAGGCCCCAAAACACGGCAAAAAAAAATGTTGCAGGCTGGTTTTATTGAGCCTGTTTATGGACGGTATGGAAAGTGCAAGTTACCGTCCCCCCCCCTAGCACCGGTTAACAAAATTCAACTTTTAAAAACATGAAATGGAAAAATTTTTTGAATTTAGAAACATCCCAGATGTGTTATACGGCGGTTATCATAACCCTCCTGGGGTTGCTTCCAAAAAAAGGGCGTATGGCCCCAGGGTTAAAAAGGGTCCCAACGGAAAACTGGCGGCCAATAAAATGGTTTTGAAAGGGGAAAAGGGGTATACCCCTGCGATCCGGGATCCCGAAAAGACATTTAAAAAGAGGAACTATCCTAGGGGATTAACATTTTTAAAGTGGGAAATATTGGAACCCCCCAAATAGAAAATGCCGAAAAGTTGAAACTAAAAATACCACAGAAGAAACAATAATGTGTGCTGAACGATATTCAAGGATCGAAAATAAACATCATTGAAAATGTACGGGGAGCGTTTTACAGCCGCCACACGGCACAAAAACACGGGATGTGATTTTAAAATATAAGATTCATTCTATTTTATTATATAAAGAGCTGACTGGACAGAAATAAAGATTTAAAAAAATCAAAGAAACATAACTAAAAAAAATTTAGTAGAGAGAATGCTTCTTGTGCACTCACTTTTGGTCATAAAAGAAGTTTGCATCCAATTTGGGTGAATCAAACTTAAAGTGAATAAGTTTTGTGCAAGAAATATTTTTCAATTTTTAGATCCATCATCCTGTAAGTTTCAGTCAATTGCTTTTAAAGTGTTAGTGCATTGCCCAACAAAAATGAAATTTAAAAATTTCAAAGGGCAGTAACTAAACAAAAGATGTACTAGTAACGGTTTTTGTGTGCTGCGCTTCTTCTTAATGAGATAGTTCATCCTTTCGAAGTTTCAAGTAAATAGCTTTTATTGTTTAGGGGAATGGCCCGGACAAAAATAAAGAAAATAACAAAAATTAAAGAGAAAAAAAATAATTCCCTGGGTAAAATATGATAAAACAAGCTCAAACAAGGAAAAAGGCGGCGTTCAATGAAACGCAACCCCATATGACCAGCAAAATTGGGCGGCAAGGAGCCCAGGAAACCGACCCGAACCAAAACAGGACGGGCAAAGACAGAACAGGGGACAGGGGCAAAAGACAGAAACCTTAAGCCTATTAATATGAAAACTTACAAAGGCAATAGCTAAAATCGAAGAGACAAGTACAAAATCTTGTGACAGCATTTGAATGTGTAGGAAAAGGCCCGGACAAAAA